TGATTTTGTAATTGATTTTCTTGAATTTGTAATTGCTTTCATTGATTCTATAATTGTCGACCCATGTTTAATATCAGTTCTTCCATAGACAACTTATTTTTCTTAATTTGAGTGTTACTGTTAAATCTTGGAGGATAAGAAGGTCTATAATTAACATTTCCTTGGATGAATTTCCTAATGGGTTCACTGGTTTGTTCGTCCATTGTTGATTTATAGCTGAATTGTTATTCCAATTGAAATTTAGATGATTTTTCCAACCTGGGTTATAATAGTTCGAATAAGGGCTGTTGGGTCTATTAATAGCATTTAAAGTCTCAAATGAAGGTTGAACATGCACAAATTGCTCAGATGAATTCTCTTCCATCATAGTAGGTGTTGGAGAATAATTCATTCTATAATGATCTAATTTCTTTGATATTACAACAATCTGCGAAGCCAACATAATATTCCATCAGAATTATGGATACTAGCTACTCTTTTAGGATTTACCCTTTCAGAGGGTCATTGAAAATTATTGGTAATAATCTCTTCTATTAACAAATAAGCCTCATCAAAATGTTTTGACATTAACGAACCACCAGTCGCAGCATCTATAATCGATCTAAGTGATCTCACTAATCAATTATAAAAAGTTTGAATTTGGTAATGAATGAGGAGGGCATTTCCTAAGAAGATCTTTAAATCTCTCCCAAGCTTATTGACTCTCTGTCAATTTGACAAAACGATGTTATGTCATTTCTAATTTTAGCAGTTTTGGATGGAGGGAAATATTTGGATAGAAATTTCTGTGAAAGCCCAAGTTCTAATAGATCCAGGTGCTAACGAGTTTAACTACAACTTAGCTTTATCCCTCAATGAAAAAGGAAAAAGTCTAAGTCTAACAGCATCGTTTGAAACTCTCTCATATTTAAAAGCAGAACACAGTTCTAAAAAACTAGCGAGGTGCAAATTAGGATCTTCATTTGGTGTACCTCCGAATTGATTGTTTTGTATCATTTAGATAATAGCAGGTTTAAGCTTAAATGAATTAGCAGCTAAATCAGGATTTTGGATAGATAAGTGAATTTCATCTATTGTAGGATTTGCATAATCTCGTAGAGGTCTAGGTTCTATTCCTTGATTGTTCATGTTGTTTTCCATTGTATCAGAATTTCTAGGTTCCCTTCTTAATCTTCTAATTTTTCGAACAGTGCATTCTAATTCCAAATCGTATAGTATAAGATTTTCATATCCAAATTTACGCATACAATTTGAAATCAGTACGCAGTAAAATAGTTAACTAAATATGAAAATAAGTTACAATTCAAGTGAAAATTTTCTAATAATCATAATTTGTCTGTTACTCTAATTATAATTCTTGTTTACTCCCCGGCAACGACGCCAAAAACTTGATAGCGACTTTATATATGCTTAAAATATAAGTATTTAATACTGCTACTAAAAAATTTAATTCCTCAACAACTGCACCAAAAACTTAATAACAGTTATAGATTCGATAAAAATGTATGTATAAAATATTCAATAATTGTAAAGTCACACTTATCAACGCAAGTATATGTATCGTTCAAGTAATATAGGGTTCTAATGGAGTCCTAGATATCGATCCTACAGAGAGTAATATTAGAACTACGAACTAAGATTTTAGAAAAGTAAAACTTTAATTGCAACAACGAAGTTCAATTTGCTTATCTGTCACTAATAGACAATTGAAATAAATATGTAATTTTCTTAATAACTCTTAAATAACTAATTATGCTAATGAGGTTTTT